TTTTCCAGGTGTCCAACAGGATGAAAATTATAGAAACTAAAGATTTATTTTCTTTATTTTCTTTATTTTCTTTTTGGGGCTCCAGAAAAATAAAGAAAATGAATATGTTTTTTCTTTATTTTCTTTATTTTCTTTTTAAGGCTCCAGGAAAATAAAGAAAATAAAGAAAATAGATCTTTATTTTCTTTATTTTCTTTTTGAGGCCTCAGGAAAATAAAGAAAATAAAGAAACAAAATCTTTATTTTCTATAGATTCCATCCTGCTGGACACCTGGCAAAGTAAATAAAGAAAATCAAAAAAAAAGAGAAAATAAAGAACATAAAGATTTATTTTCTTTGTTTTCTATATTTTCTTTTTAAGGCTCCAGGAAAATACAGAAAATAAAGAAAATAAATCTTTATTTTCTATAGATTCCATCCTGCTGGACACCTGCAAAAGTAAATAAAGAAAAAAATAAAGAAAATAAAGAAAATAAATCTTGATTTTCTTTATTTTCTTTATTTTCTTTTTGAGGCTCCAGGAAAATAAAGAAAATAAAGAAACATATCTTTATTTTCTATAGATTCCATCCTGCTGGACACCTGGAAAAAAAAATAAAGAAAATAAAGAAAATAAAGAAAAACAATCTTTATTTTCTTTATTTTCTTTATTTTCTTTTTGAGGCTTCTGGAAAATAAAGAAAATAAATCTTTATTTTCTATAGATTCCATCCTGCTGGACACCTGGAAAAGTAAATAAAGAAAATAAAGAAAATAAATCTTTATTTTCTTTATTTTCTTTATATTCTTTGTTGAGGCTTCAGGAAAATAAAGAAAATAAAGAAAATAAATCTTTATTTTCTATAGATTCCATCCTGCTGGACACCTGGAAAAGTAAATAAAGAAAATAAAGAAAATAAATCTTTATTTTATTTATTTTCTTTATTTTCTTTTTGAGGCTCCAGGAAAATAAAGAAAATAAAGAAAATAAATCTTTATTTTCTATAGATTCCATCCTGCTGGACACCTGGAAAAGTAAATAAAGAAAATAAAGAAAATAAAGATTTATTTTCTTTATTTTCTTTATTTTCTTTATTTTCTTTGTGAGGCTTCAGGAAAATACAGAAAATAAAGAAAATAAATCTTTATTTTCTATAGATTCCATCCTGCTGGACACCTGGAAAAGTAAATAAAGAAATAAAGAAAATAAAGAAAATATTTTTTTTTTCTTTATTTTATTTATTTTCTTTTTGAGGCTCCAGGAAAATAAAGAAAATAAAGAAAATAAATCTTTATTTTCTATAGGTTCCATCCAGCTGGACACCTGGAAAAGTAAATAAAGAAAATAAAGAAAATAAAGAAAATAAATCTTTATTTTCTTTATTTTCTTTATTTTCTTTTTGAGGCTCCAGGAAAATAAAGAAAATAAAGAGAATAAATCTTTATTTTCTTTATTTTCTTTTTGAGGCTTCAGGAAATTCAAGAAAATAAAGAAAATAAATCTTTATTTTCTTTATTTTCTTTATTTTCTTTATTTTCTTTGTTTACTTTTCCAGGTGTCCAGCAGGATGGAATCTATAGAAAATAAAGATTTATTTTCTTTATTTTCTTTTTGAGGCTCCAGGAAAATAAAGAAAATAAAGAAAATAAATCTTTATTTTCTTTATTTTATTTATTTTCTTTTTGAGGCTTCAGGAAAATAAAGAAAATAAAGAAAGTAAATCTTTATTTTCTTTATTCTCTTTATTTACTTTTCCAGGTGTCCAGCAGGATGGAATCTATAGAAAATAAAGATTTATTTTCTTTATTTTCTTTTTGAGGCTCCAGGAAAATAAAGAAAATAAAGAAAATAAATCGTTATTTTCTATAGGTTCCATCCAGCTGGACACCTGGAAAAGTAAATAAAGAAAATAAAGAAAATAAAGAAAATAAATCTTTATTTTCTTTATTTTCTTTCTTTTTGAGGCTTCAGGAAAATAAAGAAAATAAAGAAAATAAATCTTTATTTTCTTTATTTTCTTTATTTTCTTTTTGAGGCTTCAGTAAAATGAAGAAAATAAAGAAAATAAATCTTTATTTTCTTTATTTTCTTTTTGAGGCTCCAGGAAAATAAAGAAAATAAAGAAAATAAATCTTTATTTTCTATAGATTCCATCGTGCTGGACACCTGGAAAAGTAAATAAAGAAAATAAAGAAAATAAAGAAAATAAAGAAAATAAAGAAAATAAATCTTTATTTTCTTTATTTTCTTTTTGAGGCTCCAGGAAAATAAAGAAAATAAAGAAAATAAATCTTTATTTTCTTTATTTTCTTTATTTTCTTTATTTACTTTTCCAGGTGTCCAGAAGGATGGAATCTATAGAAAATAAAGTTTTATTTTCTTTATTTTCTTTATTTTCCTGGAGCCTCAAAAAGAAAATAAAGAAAATAAATCTTTATTTTCTTTATTTTCTTTTTGAGGCTTCAGGAAAATAAAGAAAATAAAGATTTATTTTCTTTATTTTCTTTTTGAGGCTCCAGGAAAATAAAGAAAATAAAGGAAATAAATCTTTATTTTCTATAGATTCCATCGTGCTGGACACCCGGAAAAGTAAATAAAGAAAATAAAGATTTAATTTCTTTATTTTCTTTATTTTCTTTTTGAGACTCCAGGAAAATAAAGAAAATAAATCTTTATTTTCTTTATTTTCTTTATTTTCTTTTTGAGGCTCCAGGAAAATAAAGAAAATAAAGAAAATAAATCTTTATTTTCTTTATTTTCTTTATTTTCTTTTTGAGGCTTCAGGAAAATAAAGAAAATGAAGAAAATAAATCTTTATTTTCTTTATTTTCTTTATTTTCTTTTTGAGGCTCCAGGAAAATAAAGACAATAAAGAAAATAAATCTTTATTTTCTATAGATTCCATCGTGCTGGACACCTGGAAAAGTAAATAAAGAAAATAAAGAAAATAAAGATTTAATTTCTTTATTTTCTTTATTTTCTTTTTGAGGCTCCAGGAAAATAAAGAAAATAAAGAAAATAAATCTTTATTTTCTTTATTTACTTTTCCAGGTGTCCAGAAGGATGGAATCTATAGAAAATAAAGATTTACTTCTTTATTTTCTTTATTTTCTTTTTGAGGCTTCAGGAAAATAAAGAAAATAAAGAAAATAAATATTTATTTTCTTTATTTTCTTTTTTTTCTTTTTGAGGCTTCAGGAAATTAAAGAAAATAAAGAAAATAAAATTTTATTTTCTTTATTTTCTTTATTTTCTTTTTGAGGCTCCAGGAAAATAAAGAAAATAAAGAAAATAAATCTTTATTTTCTTTATTTTCTTTATTTTCTTTTTTTTACTTTTCCAGGTGTCCAGCAGGATGGAATCTATAGAAAATAAAGATTTATTTTCTTTATTTTCTTTATTTTCTTTTTGAGGCTCCAGGAAAATAAAGAAAATAAAGAAAATAAAGATTTATTTTCTTTATTTTCTTTATTTTCTTTTTGAGGCTTCAGGAAAATAAAGAAAATGAAGAAAATAAAGATTTATTTTCTTTATTTTCTTGATTTTCTTTTTGAGGCTTCAGGAAAATAAAGAAAATAAAGAAAGTAAATCTTTATTTTCTTTATTTTCTTTACTTTTGAGGCTCCAGGAAAATAAAGAAAATAACGGAAATAAATCTTTATTTTCTATAGATTCCATCGTGCTGGACACCTGGAAAAGTAAATAAAGAAAATAAAGAAAATAAAGATTTAATTTCTTTATTTTCTTTATTTTCTTTTTGAGGCTCCAGGAAAATAAAGAAAATAAAGAAAATAAATCTTTATTTTCTTTATTTTATTTATTTTCTTTTTGAGGCTTCAGGAAAATAAAGAAAATAAAGAAAATAAATCTTTATTTTCTTTATTTTCTTTATTTACTTTTCCAGGTGTCCAGAAGGATGGAATCTATAGAAAATAAAGATTTATTTTCTTTATTTTCTTTATTTTCTTTTTGAGGCTTCAGGAAAATAAAGAAAATAAATCTTTATTTTCTTTATTTTCTTTATTTTCTTTTTGAGGCTCCAGGAAAATAAAGAAAATAAAGGAAATAAATCTTTATTTTCTATAGATTCCATCGTGCTGGACAACTGGAAAAGTAAATAAAGAAAATAAATAAAATAAATAAAATAAAGAAAATAAAGAATTAATTTCTTTATTTTCTTTATTTTCTTTTTGAGACTCCAGGAAAATAGAGAAAATAAAGAAAATAAAAATTTATTTTCTTTATTTTCTTTATTTTCCTGAAGCCTCAAAAAGAAAATAAAGAAAAAAAAGAAAATAAATCTGTATTTTCTTTTTTTTCTTTATTTACTTTTGCAGGTGTCCAGAAGGATGGAATCTATAGAAAATAAAGATTTACTTCTTTATTTTCTTTATTTTCTTTTTAAGGCTCCAGGAAAATAAAGAAAATAAAGAAAATAAACCTTTATTTTCTTTATTTTCTTTATTTTCTTTTTGAGGCTTCAGGAAATTAAAGAAAATAAAGAAAATAAATTTTTATTTTCTTTATTTTCTTTATTTTCTTTTTGAGGCTCCAGGAAAATAAAGAAAATAAAGAAAATAAATCTTTATTTTCTTTATTTTCTTTATTTTACTTTTCCAGGTGTCCAGCAGGATGGAATCTATAGAAAATAAAGATTTATTTTCTTTATTTTCTTTATTTTCTTTTTGAGGCTCCAGGAAAATAAAGAAAATAAATCTTTATTTTCTTTATTTTCTTTATTTTCTTTTTGAGGCTTCAGGTAAATAAAGAAAATAAAGAAAATAAATCTTTATTTTCTTTATTTTCTTGTACTTTAAAATAATGAAGATTAGTAAAGGCGTCAAATAGTACAGAAAGGTCTCTCTAACATATATATATACATATGTACATGTAAATAATAAAGTCCAATAAATAGCATGTCAGAGCTTGTCAAAATATGACAACACCAGAAATGACAAGTTAATCTGTGAGTCCCAGACCCAGGGCGGGCCCCTGTAGACCCATGTCCTTAATGGTCCAGGTGGCAGCCGTTCGAATGGCCCGCGCAGCCATGGAGGAAGGCTCTCCAGAACGGCAAGCAGGCGGAGAAAATGACGGTGAGAAGATTGAAACGTTAAGAAGCAGTTTCTGAACAGTAGTAGTTGTGGGATGTTGTGGGTCAAAATGATCAACCCTCCCCAATGGATGGTTAGTACCAAAAATGTGCAAGTTTTCCAGTGATTGGGTGCCCAATATTCTGACCCATAAAGAATTGTTTTCATAGCAGATGCTGCTGAATGGATATAGGATGGTTTGGGCCGCCCCAATCGGAGCTAAATTTTGACTAAATGATGACGGACACTCTTGCCTCAAATTGCAAAGCAATTCAATATGTTGCTTCTTCGATCAATTTGGATCCTGTCTTCAAGTCTGAGGAAGGCTGGCATGCAACAGGCCGCTGAGCTCATGTTTTTACTTTTTTGTTCACTCACTGTTGAATTGAACATGCATGTGACGCCAGGCCTTTCGGCTTGAAACGAAGACGCCTCCAGGGATTTAGTTGATTGTACCTTCTCTGACCAGAAGGCTGAGCCCAAGAAGATGGCAGATTTGAGGATGGTCCATGCCCTCGGTTTAGAGATTCCATCACGTCGACTTCTGGAAAGGTACAGCCAGATGCAAACAGGCTCTGCGGTTGGCAACAATGAGGCTGGAGTGTATCGAGCTCTTTTCCGAGGCGGTGGTGGTTTCAATGGTGTCTGTGATCTCGGAGGCAATGCTCATCTCGGTTGCCCACATGGACACAACGTGTTCGTAGTACCAGATGTCACGAGTGATTCTGACACAGAGAATGAGGACATCGACAGTGAGATTTCGACGGAGAGTGGTGGCAGTGATGCAGAGAGTGACCTTTCAATCCTTTCAATCCATCCCATCCATGAAGGATGCGAGGAAAACAAGAGTGGCTCGACAGCCACTTTTCCTGGATCTCGTGTTGAAGAATGCCAGGAAGCTGATGGTACCAACAGTACCGACAGCAAAGACCATGGTGATGCTGACAGCCAAACAGTTGTAAAGACGAGTTGAGGTAGGGATAGGTAGGGCTTTTTGCCAAATTTGCACGCATGGATGTCTCCAAACCTAAGGACTCGAGTCCAAAGACCTCTGCAGATAAGCCTCAGACTCTTGAGTCATACATAGATATCATAGATCTAAGGGTAGCCCTGTGGGCATGTGAAGACGGTCTTGTTCTGACCGTGTGGACTTTCGTGCAATCCAGGAGACTTTCATGCTGCACATCAATAGGGAGGCTTCGTTGGGCGAAACAATGAAGCGTTCGCCCAGAGTCAGAGATTCGGATTGTGCAAACGCCCACGCAGCAAATTGCGAGTTTGAATGATATAGGGAGAAAGCCCGGAGTAGCTGTGTTTGTGATAGTAGGTATCTTCATGTTTTGTATCTGCATCGTGGGCAAACTGTTCAAACCTGATCATACAATTCTTGTACATGTCTAATGGGTTCAAGGGTTGAAGATCATATTCACGTAATCTAGTTTGTATACATATGAGCCCCGATACGATCGTTTCTTAGGAACCCGTGCAGACATTTTTTGTCCATCATGGGTTACACCCAAAACGCATGTTTTATTTTCAAATGCGTGTTCCAGTTTTCGATTGTGGCTTCGGACATACTCCTTACTGTACTAGTATTTTGTTCAGATTTTCAGGATTTTAAGGATCATGTTGAGAAAAACCAGTAAGCAATGTAATATTATACGGCCCCTATTGCCTCTTCATGAGACATACTTCCGGTACCACTCCGACAAATCCAGGGTTTCAGGAAAGCAATTGACATTCAAGGAGTGGGATTGGAGCAGGACATGGCTGCATATGGAAAAACAGCAACGGACAAGTACATGGCCAAACCGTGCCAAACCCCTAAATACAAAAATACATAATTTATATTAATTTATAATTAATAATACAAAGAACCATTGCCTTTAAGATCTTTAAGGTTTTCCACATCAAATGAACGCAGAACGCACCCTGAGTCAATCACCCCCCCACGTCGGAGTCCTTCACCCTCCACACCACCAGAAGTGGTGAGGGGTGACTGCCATCCGGCGTGCCCAGTGAGCAATTTTGGTTCCCAAGGTCGCAGGGTCCAATTTTCTTTCAAATGATCTTGGTGTCCTTTCCATGTGCTCCAGGCCTTCCAAGTTCTGATGAAGCATTGTGACATGGTCAACGGTTTCGCCTGGGTTTGTTTTAGGGTTGGTTTAGGGTTTCTGTAGGGTTTCCTGATGGTTTGTTTTAGGGTTTATTTAGGGTTGACTTAGTGTTGGTTTCGGGTTTATTTAGGCTTGGTTAAGGGTTTTTAAAGGGTTGGTTTCGGGTTAATGTAGGGTTTTGTCAGGATTTGTTTTAAGTTTTAAGGTTGGTTTAGGGTTTATTTAGGGTTGGTTTAGTGTTTATTTAGGCTTGGTTTAGGGCAGGGTTTATTTCGGCTTGGTTTAGGTATTCAGGCTTGGTTTATTATTTAGGGTTGGTTTAGGGCTAATGTAGGGTTTCGTCAAGGTTTGTTTTAGGGTCTATTTAGGGTTTACTTAGCGTTGGTGTGGGGTTTATTTGGATTTGGTCTAGTCTAGGGTTTATTTTGGTTTGATTTAAGGTTAAGTTTGGGTTCTGTTAGGGTTTGTGCGAGGGTTGGCTTAGGTTCTATTTGGGCTTGGTTTTGTTTTTTTTGGCTTGGTTTTGGGTATATTCAGGCTTGGTTTAGGTTTTATTTAGGGTCAATGTGGGGTTTTGTCAGGGTTCGCGTGAGGGTTGGTTAAGGGTTTACTTAGTGTTTGTCTTGGGTTTATTTAGGCTTGGCTTAGGCTTTATTTATGTTTGGTTTAAGGTGAAATTATGGTTTCGTCAAGGTTTGCGTGAGGGTTGGTTTAGGGTTTCTGTAGGGTTTGTTTCAGGGTTTATTTAGTCTTGGTTTGGGGTCTATCGATGGTTGGTTTAGGGTTTCTTTAGGTTTGGTTTAGGGTTGAATTATGGGCTCGTCAGGGTTTGTTTTAGGGTTGGTTTAGGGTTTGTTTTAATGCTGGCTTGGGGTTTGCTTAGGCCTGGTTTAGGGTATATTCAAGGCCGGTTTAGGTTTATTTAGGGTTGGTTTAGGGTTTGTTCAAGGTCGGTTTAGGGTTTATTTAGGGTTAGTTTAGTGTTTATTTAAGTTTCGTTTAGGGTATATTTAGGCTGGGTTCAGGGTATATTTAGGGTTTGTTTAGGGTATATTTAAGGTTGATTTAGGGTTAATGTAGGGTTTCGTCAGGATTTGTTAAACATGATTTAGGGTTTATTTAGGGCTGGTTTAGAGTTAATGTAGGATTTTGTCAGGGTTTGCGTGAGGGTTGGTTTAGGGTTTACTTAGGGTTGGTTTTGGGGTTTCTCTGGGGTTTCTCTGGGGTTTCGTTAGGGTCTCTTGAGGGACTCTTTGTTGTTGATTTTGCGTTGACCCATGGGTTCCTTGATCCTCCTCCCGGCTTCCAAGGGGTGACCGACTCTTTATTGTTCACTCTTTGTTCCTCGATCATGTTTCCCTGCCTCCTCAGCTGGTGTGCAGTGGTCACTGACTTTGTCTTATGGGGTTCTCGACTCGGACATTTGGGGGGATTGACTTGGGTGAATCACTTTGACTCCGCCCATGTACATGTATAGGTCATGTATAGGTGTAACGATTTATACATATATGCAGATGTATTTGTATATGTATATGTATAGGTATATGTATACATGTATGTTCATATTCAGACACTCTGGCATATTTGAAGAATGTAGATGTATGCACCAAGAGTTGTCTTCATCTTCTCCTGGCTTTCGGCACCCCCACTGCGAGCGTGGTCTAGATCTCAAGTGGTCACAGCACCAGTCCGTCGAATTCTATCTTTTCACAGCGTAGTTTCTGCTGGCAGTTACTACATGCCCTTTTATTCTGGGACTTCCCAAGCAGCTGCGCACAGTGACTGCTGCTCCGGGATGACCACTTTTTGTGCCATGGTCCGCCTTGGCTCTGTGGGATTAGGGGTTGGGCCCCGTTGGCCTACAAGAGGTCGCAAGAGGTCATGCCCTCTCAGTCAACCCTTCAGCCAGCCTCTAATCCCGCTATGAAGAATGGATGTCCTGATTGCGCGATTGAGAGAGGGGTAACCTTTCATGGAAGAAGCAACACATAGTACATGACTACAAATATCTACATACACACATACATACATACATACGTACGTACGTACGTACATACAGACATACAGACATACAGACATACAGACATACAGACATACATACATACACACAGACACACAGACATACACACATACATACATACATACATACGTACGTACGTACGTACATACGTACATACATACATACAGACATACAGACATACAGACATACAGACATACAGACATACATACATACACACATACACACATACAAACATACACACATACACACATACACACATACACACATACACACATACACACACACACATACATGCTGCATACATACATACATACATGCGTGCGTGCGTGCGTGCGTGCGTGCGTGCGTACCTACCATTACTTACCATTACATACCATTACATGCCCTTACATACCATTGCATACCATTACATACCATGACATACCGTGACATACCATTACATACCATGACATACCATGACATACCATTACATACCATTACATACCATTACATACCATTACATACCATGACATACCATGACATACCATGACATACCATTACATACCATTACATACCATTACATACCATTACATACCATTACATACCATTACATACCATTACATACCATTACCATTACATACCATTACATACCATTACATACCATTACATACCATTACATACCATTACATACCATTACATACCATTACATGCCATGACATACCGTGACATACCATTACATACCATCCATTACATACCATGAGATACCATTAGATACCATGACATACCATTACATACCATTACATACCATTACATACCATGACATACCATTACATCACATTACATCACATTACATCACATTACATCACATTACATCACATTACATACATACATAAACATGTTTTAAATATATGTAATTATGTATATATATATATATACATATTTGTGACTGTACATTGTAGATTAATGATGATTAATGTAGATATGTACTTCCAACAAAAAGTACACTGCGCTGGCGATTTCCCCAAAGGACACCATGGCTATGAACTTCCACGATCGTGGCGATCGTGAAGTCAAGCAGTCTGTGATTTTAAGGTGGCATTGCAGATCCCCGTCCTAGAGCGGTGGTGGAGACCAGAGGATCGATGAGGATCGGCAAAAACCATCCGGAATCTGAAAATGGAACCATTGGATTTGGTCTATTGACCGACGCTCCACGCCGTGACTTGAACTCGGTTGTGCAGGTCACACAATGTGGCAATCTCAAATTAGTAAGTGTACTCAGAGGCATTTACCAATTCAACGCTTTGCCGCGTAGATTTGACAACAGAGACCTTGGACGAAAAACATCCGTCGCTGTGGCGCGTTTTGCGGATCCAGGTTTTTGATCGCTATTTGACTCTCATTTTGAGGATTTTTGAGGGCTGCCTTGATCTAGATTTTTTTCGAAACACGGCAGGCTGGACTGGACCCTCACTACAGGAGATCGGATGAGATGGGGGTTTTGTAGCATGGGTTGATCAGTTATATCAGATTATATCAGATTTGATGATGGGAAGATGGGTTGATATGCGTCAAGATGCCAAGTTGTGGTTTGGCAATGTCTTGTATAGTATATTGTGTGGCCAATTGGAGCTCTTGATGCATGTCTGTTTCAACGCGGATCAGTCGGCGACGTACGCAAGACTTGGTTGATTGAGAAATGCTTCCCGTCAGCACGACAGAAGTTCTGGTCAAGTTATAGCCTAAGGTTTTATGACGGTTTGGAGTCAAATCAAGGTAGTACATGGCGAGAGTCTCCTTGATTTTGACACTGGCAGATGCGCGTCTGATACCGTCTCTCTCATGCTGCTGTGAGGACGTCTCCGAGTTCTGGAAGAGAGAAAGGCTTAGACGCCGGGGCTTGATTGAACAGGCTCGGCTCGACACCCTTGTCATGGCTGAACCTTTCAAGGTTAGCAAAATCAAAGTCAAATGATTGGAAAAGGCCAGTCGATGGTCTGAGTGCCTGGTTGGTTTCAAATGTATCATTCCATCGCTGGATGATCCCAATTGACTGTAATTGGCTCGTATTCTTCAGGGATGTTGAGGGCAGTGGCTCAACCACCTGCGTGCAGGAAGAGGAGATGGATTGGACGCAGTACGCGATCTCTGCCTGGACTCAGCCTTTTCTGCTGGGATTCTTAGACGGAGATGCCGTGTTTGTACGGCCGTCTTATACGGCGGGGCTTGAGACGTGAGCAGAAGTGAGGCCCAACTTGATGAACACCGTGGTGTTCTTGGTCGAAACTGTCTGGGCCTAGGAAGACTTTTGACAGTTGACATTATGTGGTCATTGGATTTCAAAATTTCAACAGGTCACAGGTCACAGCTCAGGGTGCTTCCGCTGGTTTCCTGGTTTCAATTTCCTGATCGCAGTGGCAATCAGAATCATATTCAATCATTGCAGTGACCGTGGCTGATGTTGAGCAAGCGGATATTATGATTAAAGCATATTCAAACCAGAAATTCGAGGCCAACAAGATTTCCGCACCTAGGCTCAGACAGTTGCGATCTTGTTTGTGAACTACAAGGCCGGAAATGGTAATGGCCACAGCAATGGGGGCCCGGCATAAATGCAAGCTGTTTTGATCTGCAATTTCTATAAGGAGTTGGCAAGAAGAGATTGAGCAAAAACTCTTTGAGCACCGCTTCTTGCTCAAAGGGCCAGCCGTGGATGAAAGGCGTCATGGAGAATCGGGTGCCCAGCCTTAGCACGCTGCAAGGGATAGACCCGGTAGACTTTGCAAGCCTTGCCGTGCCATTGCTACGGAGTTCGATACACAGGAAGATCGTTGATGCCATTTAGGCCTTGTTCCTTTCTGTGCTTACAGTTGCTGGAAGTGTGGCGGCCGCAGCGTGGGTGCACTCAGCGGGCTTTCGCTTGGATACCATGCATCTGTCGCAAGCTAAGAGTAGCAAATTTAACACCTGTGCGGTTGGTGAGCTAAGAGTAACCACTAGATCTGTCCATGATAGTGCGTCAGAACCATGAGGACTACTGTGCAGGCGGAAGCATCTAACTAAAAATGCCTGGATGCACACTGTGGCGAGATGTTCTCGTAGTTCACAGTTGAGGTGGGAATTTCAGCCTCAACTGAATGAGTTGATCCACCTCTCGCCGTTCCCCAATGACCTTGCCTCAGTGGGTCATTGTGCACGCGTATTCTGATGATGCCATATAGATTCTCTCAATATCACTCTGGTCGTGGTGTTTTGTTTCATGCCACGCCCTAATTCCCAACGGTTTCTGTTTTTCCCCAAACAGTGTGTCCACACTGAGGGGTTCTTACGGTAGGTGTAAAGGCCGGTGCTTGATCAGGGTGCTCACTCTGGGCCCCGGCGTTTTCCTGTAAATTTCCGCATAAAGTGGCTCTTGTGAAATCTTGACATGCGTTTCGACTGCACAGGCTCGCACAAAGTGTGCCCCTAGGTTCTGGGGCGCGTCCCCCTTGACATCATCATCCTCAACATCATCATCCTCCACTTTATCTTCCGCAGCATTATCCTCCTCCACCTCATCTTCCGGAACATTATCATCCTTTTCATCATCCCCCTCAACATCATCATCCTCAACATCATGACCTTTCTCCTTCTCCACATCATCATCCTGCACCTTGTCCTCCTCCACTTCATCTTCCGCATTATCATCCTCATCCTCATCCTCCTCAACATCATCATCCTCATCCTCATCCTCCTCAGCATCATCATCCTCCACATCATGCACCTGCACCTCATCCTCCTCAACACCATCCTCCTCAACATCATCGTTCGCATCATGATCATGATCATGGTCATCATCATCATCATCATCATCACCATCATCATCATCATCGTCGTCATCATCATCGTCGTCATCATCATCATCATCCCCATCATCACCATCATCATCATCATCATCAACAACAACAACATCAACATACATTGTCCTCCCTTTCCCCCCCACACTGTTTGTTTTTTTTGCCGGGATATTTTTTTACATGTTCATCACTTTCCACAGCCATCCACAGCCGCTGAGGATGAGTTTCGATGGAAGGTCATGGCCCTGGTGGGACTGACGCTGCTGGGCACCTTCCTTTGGGATCGACTGTGTGTCCTCTTTTTCGCACCCGAGATCTTCAAGGCCATGGGTGCGGTAGCTTGAAACGAACATTGAGACGCACGATGATCTCGGGACACCAATATGATAACGTAACTTATTTTTACATATTTATATATATTATTCAATATTTATATATATATATATATTATAGTCATGCGTTTGTGTTTTTATGTATTTGTCATGCATTTTGATTCTTGAATATATATAACTACAATAACTCTCATTATATCTCTATTTCATTCATTCATTCATTCATTCACTCATTCACTCATTCACTCATTCACTCATTCACTCATTCACTCATTCACTCATTCACTCATTCACTCATTCACTCATTCACTCATTCACCCATTCACCCATTCACCCATTCACTCATTCACTCATTCACTCATTCACTCATTCAGTCATTCAGTCATTCAGTCATTCAGTCATTCATTCATTCATTCATTCATTCATTCATGTTCTTATTGATGTATTTATGTGTTGTTTATCTATTTATATATATATATATATTATTTTTCCTTCTTTAGTAATATGAAACCATGTATTTCACAATTTCATAACGCATTAGAGTGTGCAGCCATGGTTGACGATTAATGTGTTCCAATGTTCTGCAGGCCATGGTCGACTCTGCGAAGAAGACCACCTTCAAAGATGACGTCGTGCCAGTGTTTGTGACGGTGGGCAAGGCCAGGGAGATGTGTGGATTGCAAACTGATCTCATGGTCATCCATTGTTTCCATCCAGAAATTCATGAAAACAGACACAATGAAGCCAACGTGATGTGGTGATTTGGCCATGTTCGCTCCAATGTGCGCTTCAGATTTGTGCAGTGTGTTTTTTGCGCTGAGGTGCTAGGTGTCTTTGTCATTTTGGGCACTGGGAATATCCTCATGGCCGGTCTTGCGTACTGGATGTCCAAAGCTCAGACTGGATCAGACTGGGGGGTTAGAGCCACAAAACCAGGAAAGTCCCTCCGAAAAGACGACGTGTCCGGAGGTACCGAAGACATTCCAAAGATCCAGACGAATGAGGACCGATTTGGGGAACGGGAATGATAAAAGGCAGAGATTGTGGCCATTTGTGGCCATTGGTTCCAGCCTGTGGAAGGATGCTTCATGCGCTGACGCAGCTTGATCTGAGCCGTAGAAGCGAACAGGCCACTTGATGGCACGGCAGTTTTCCCTGCCAAAATCGGACTCATGCGGCCCAAAAAGCTTGGGAGGATTGGATTCCAGCACCTTGGACACACACACACAGAAATTTGGGCATCGTGGTTTTGCACTATTTCCTGATATTTCAGAAAACCCTGCAGAACTTCCAAGTAGTTTTGTTCCCACTTCAGAGGTTGCTATGGTTTTGTCTGCTGTCGGGATGACATCCTCGGAGCCTCCGCAGCCTTTGATCTCACAGGTTTCAGCCTGGGATGATAGCCATGCCGCGTCGCCAATTGCAGAAATTGGTGAGGCACAGGCACCCAGCTTTCCCACAGCTATGGGCACATTGATTTGCCCGGACAATGCGAGAGATTCAATGCTAAATGAATGTTCAAAGTGGTTTGTTCCTGTGTGTAATCCAAAGGAACTGGCTACTTACGTACTTTTCTAAATAGATAGTATATGATAGTATGCATTACTATGGATAGATTATTCAATGCAGCTGCAGCTGCATGAAATGGACATGCACTTAAGAAGACCAGCTGAATTGATTTCCACACTCTTTGAGAATGACTGGACAGGAAGTATATGGATGTATACAATACAATACCTTTTCAGATCACTGCCATTGTTTGAGTGACGAGAACAAAATGAGTGCTCGAATGATTTTGGTATGCCGCGCAATCAGAACCATAATGTGGGCTTGGAAAGTTAAGCCAAGCAAAAATAGCAAAGAAGAGCATCCATTACTGTCCTTGTCATAGTGCAACATGTCCTCTTTGACCAGAAAGTCTCATTGTTGTTTGGCAATTCCAAGGAAATCAACTATAACATACAATGACATGTGCCATCATATACGTATATATGTATGCATCGTGTTTGGCGGCACTGGGTGTGCATTATCATTAGGGTGAGTATGTAAGCTGATGAATCCATTTTGGCTCAAGTCTGAGCCAAACTGGCTTCATCGTTCTTTCTTTTGTTGGGGTACCCACACCACTTCTAGGGAGTTACCCTAGGTTCAGTGGTTTCTCGTTCCTCTACTAGGGCGTTACCCTAGAGTACAGAGGTTACGAAGGTGGGAGGTCACCCCCTCGATGCCAAGGGCCTCCATCGTCGTTCGGCCCGGTTGGAATGAGGCTGCCCACACGGATGTGGAGCTGCTTCACGCGGCCGCCTACTATGAGTTCAAGACACATGTGGAGAGCCTCCTCCAGCGGGGCTTGGTGGCACAGGCCACCCGACTGTGGGCGTCTGTGTGCCAAATTGATCATTTCCCCCCACATCCAATTGGGTTGGGGGTGCAGGGACTTCCCCCTTTCAGACGGTCACCTTGTATGGAAGAAAACTGTAGGAGGTGTACTGAGTATCAGGGAGGATTCAAGTTCCCTTGGATCGGCACATGGAACAGCTCAGCTGTCTTGGCTCTGCCCGGGAGTGACCCGCGGCTTGCGTGGCAATCCTACTATGATCGCCTGGGCGAGGCGAGGCTGGATTTGCTACTCATCGAGCCGCTGCGGACTTCTTGGACGTCTCGGGACTTTGCGCCGGACAACATCTTTGGTTTGGTCGCCTTCATCGAGCACAATGCCGACAGCATGGTCGACCTCACCGAACTTTGGGATGTGTGGAGGACCTGGCAATCCCCACAGCGTCGATGGAGGGATCCATCCTTGGTGCCCATCCCGGCTGACCTGGTTGCGTGGAGGGCACCACGGGCCAGAGCAGTCCGGTCGTTATGGGGCTGGCTTGGTGCCATGGAGGCTGGGGAGGAACCCTTGCCACCTTGCAGGGCTTGTGGACTGCCGACACCTGAGCTCTGTGAGCGATGCTTCTCCTCCGTGTGCAGTACCTGTCCACCCTCCCAGTGTCCAGGCTGTCACCCCGTCTTGCGTCGAGACCCATCTGCAGCAGCTGCGGCCTAGTGATGTTTGTTTGTTGCCTGATGACACTGAGGTTTGGTCTGCAGTTTCAGGCCCAGCCCGTACGCTCCAGACCTTGGCGGCGGTGGTGTCAGGCGTCGCCATGGCGTACCACCCAGGTGCCTACGCGGTGCAGGCTGCTGGCGAAGCTCCACCTTGTGCAGAGACGGCGATGGAGAGGGTGGCATCCACTCGTGTTGAACAGTGGCGAGCTCAATGGGGACTACATGATGAGACTGACTTCGCATATGCGTTTGCATCCTATGACAGTGCAGTGGCACATGGAGGACACCATGTGGCAGATGCGTGGTTGCAAGCGCGATCCAAGACTGCCGAAGCTGACCTCATCCCTCAAGCGGCTGCTGTGGCTGAGAGCTCGGGCTCCAGAGATCGGCCAACGACATGGCCTGTGCCCAAGGCATCCATGATGAAGAAGAGCAAGATGGTCCAAGCTCTTCGAGTCCGGCCAGGCCCAGATCAACCAGAGACGGTGCTGCTGCGAGCTGCGGCACTGAGGAAGGCCTTTTCTCAGGCCAAGGTCATGCGGCCTCAAGGGGAGTTGACCCCGGAGAGGTACGCTCAGTGGCAGGACGCTCTGGATACTTTGTCTAAGCGGAAGGTCACAGAGGCCGAAGGAGCGACGGTGGTGAATGCCCTGAAGTCTTGGGCTGAGTTGCGGGCCTACATGGAGCAGAAGGACCGCTTGTTCCCACCGGATGCATTGGACCTCTATGGCTTCTTGCAGAATGGCACGTCGGGGCCTTATCGAGCCTTTCATTCCTTGAAGTGGTTCTCCAAACATGGCCGGTTGCAATGGGACTTCAGTGATGTACCAGTTCCAGCTCGTAAGAATCCACCCAAACAGGCAAACCCAGAACAGGCTGTTGCAGTTGAGCCCCCAATGATTGCAGCGCTTGAAGAGAAGATTCAATCGTTGTACGAAGCAGGGGACCCGCGTTGGAGGGGCTTACTGTCCAGCTGGCTGGTTACCTTTGGTGTCCTGCGATACCAGCACATCATGCGTGCCAGGCCAGTCAAAGTGACTCCTAGCTCATTTCATGGCTACTGCACGAAGGGGAAGCAGAAGGCCAACAGGGGCGGGTTCTCCTTCAGCATTCCGGCCACATTCGTCAATGGATGGGCTTGGGGCTCAGCCCTATTCAGGGACTACAGCAGTCTGGATAAGGCTAAGCAAGCAGCCTCAGGGTTATGCTTTGATGCGGAGGGCACCGCATACACCTTGAAGTTCGTCAACGAGCTCAATCGTGAGGTCTTTGAGCACTTAGTCCAGAATACAGAGGATTTGTCTTCCTATTCCTGGCGGCGAGCAGCACCTACAGTGGGCACTTTGATGAAGCTGACGCCTCTTGAGCTATGCTCATTGGGGGACTGGGCAGATCGTTCCCAGATCCCAAAGGAGGCGACGATGCCTATGCACTACAGTGCAGCCAGGTATGAGTCTTCATTGAGGACCAAACACATTGTGCGGCTGGCTATGGAGAAGCTGCTTGCCCATGAGTCATGGGAGACTATCCCAACGGAGACCTATGCTGAGGCCCTGGAGTATGCGCGCCAGAACGTGGACAAGGTGCTGAAGCAGGAATCCAGGGTCATTTGGGCAGCTCCTTTGACGAAGGCTGAGATGCAGGCGCGCTTCCAGCTGTCGGAGGCGCTCAAGCTCAAGGCCGCGGCCAAACGAGAAGAGGCACAATCCAAGGGCGGCCTGTCTGCGATGCCGGCATCTCTCAATGGGAAGGTGCTGAGCGCATTCATGAAGAATGGGGCACCCATTTGTGGAGCTTTTCAGACAAGGTCTTGCCCCTTGGAGAAGGAAGCGTGCCCTGGTCGCCATGCATGCGCCATTCTGCGCAAAGCTGGACGAGTTTGCGGTGGAGGACATCCGGCATGTGAATGCCATGACAAGAAGTTCATCAAGGTGGAGGAGATGACTGGCGAAGGGCCTGGTTCGGGATCTGCTAAGGCCAAGCCTACTAGCAAATCCACGGAGGAGCGACCTCCGGAGCCAGCTGCCCCTCCTAAGGCGTCGGTGAGGCGCCCACGGTCCCCACAAGGGCCGCCGTCTAAGGCACCGCCAGCGAAGAAGGCCAAAGCAGCCCCAGCTCCACCTCCGGCGCCACTACCAGCCCTGGTGACCAGTTCGGAAGAAGAAGAAGTCGAAGTTGAGGAGGAGGACCTTCCGATTCCAGAGGCACTGGATACTCGAGGGCCCGACCAGAAGTTCGACAGGTTGGCGACAATCCACGGCAAGACAGCAGAGAGCCCGAGCCTTATTTATCAGAATAGGGCAGGGGGCAAGCTGTGGCTGAGTGGAATTCCAACCAGGAACACGGCAAACGGCTTTCCAAAGGGAGTTACCCTTCAGATTGCGTGCATGGCCGAAGCCCCATCATCCAGAGGAGGAGTGGTGCTCACAGATGCCCTATTGAAACACCTGTGTGTGGCCCATGGTGGTTCGAGGAACAGGGACTTCGAAGAAGTCTGGCCTTTGCTGCGCAATACGATGTATGCAGGTGAGTCGGCCTTGATCCACTGCCTATCAGGGCGCCACCGAGCAGGTGTTGGGGGCTGTGTATTCCGGGCGCTGCTAGCCCAGGAGAGCTGGGATGTTGCAGTGGCCTATGTGAAGAGCTGCAGGCGCTCGTTGGACATTCCGGGGATCATCAATGAATCGGGTATGAGGTCGTGGGTTGACACGACTCTCAGGACCAGCTCCGTCAGGAACCCGTTCCCAGAGCCCTGCGGCTACATTGCGACACTGCGGTCAAAGGTTCATCTGGAGCTCAACAATGGCCAGACCCTCTGCTCCCACAAGCAATCTGCTGAGCGTGCAATCCGCTTGGTGAAGCCAATGACGACGCAGGACATGAGGGAGGCTATGGCTTGGGGCCGCGCTTTTTGTGACGGTTGTTTGGTGTGAGCAGCAGCGAGCTGGCATCCACGTTGACCTTGTCAGGAGTGGCGCACCAGAATTTATTTGAATAAGAGTCGCACAGGGCCGATTTTGGTAAGCTGATCAACGTGGTCCATAGCTTGCCCGTAGGCCAACATGCATTGAACCATTTGAGAGCTTGACTTCTGTGTGGAAAAAGGCCCTATCAACATCCGGGAGGATGAA